AGTCTATAATAAATGGATATTTACAATCCAAGAGCACCTATTCTGTGGCCAAACCTGAGCTTCTCACCATAACTCTGCTGGATTCAAGGTTGTCATGCCCACTTTTGAAAGAGGAAAGCTCAGGAAGAGACAGCCAGCAACTTTTCAAGGCCAGCAGTTTAAGTGGAGATTCAAACCCACATTACTGGGACTCTCAAGCCGTTCGGGGGGTACCCACGGGGCTTCTGCTGTGAACACACCATTTACCAAAAGCCAGATCTGAGCACAGCCCCCTTCCTGCCAGGGCTGTACCCACTACATTGTGGACTGCTGTCCTGTTCCACCGATTATGGGCCAGAAACCTGCCCCAGCCCCCACAAGTGGGAGAACCTGTATGGGCATCTCCTACAGCCAGCTGGGCTCAGGGCCACACTCCCTCACTGCAGGGACAAGCAGTGTGTGCATTGGGAGGCGGATATGGGGGAAGGTCTGGGTGTCCTGTAGCCAAGATGCTTCCTCATCAGGCTCTCCAGAGTGGGGGTAGACGGGGAGGTGGACAAAGGCCCAGTGGGGGAGAGACAAGTCTCCAGGTCCGGTGGCCTGGGAACAAGAGGAGCTTTGTAGAACTCTGAACAATGAGGCGGGGACACTGGGCATCAGATCCAGGGATGGGGGCCTGCATAGCCTGGGGCTGGGAACTGTGAGGGTGTCAGGCTCTCGCCCCCTCTGCCGTGCGTGGGACATAGATGGGGGGAGGGGAATGGGGCCCTGTATTCAGGCCCTACAATGGAGCTCTGTGTGTTTGCTGGGGAGGGGTGGGGGTGCCAGCTTCTGGCCCATCCTCTGCCTTTCCTCCCACATTCCCTTGCTCCCCTCCTAGCTAACCAGACACTTGGGTTCTGGGGTGGGGAGGGGGAAGCCTGGGAGCTCCAGGCTCATGTCCCCCAGGAGATGGTGGAGGCTGGAAGGGGTGGGGACCTGCACTTCTAGGAACCCCAGGAAGGTGGGGGCAGGGGACACCTGGGCCCCTGAGGGACAGGTGCTGAAGGCCCTAAGGACTTCTATGACAGGTGCCCAGGACGCTCACCGCTTGGCAAAGAATGGGGGGGATGGGTGTAGGGGAGGCAATCATTAGGAGGTGAGGACCTCTCATCGGAGGATGGGCATGACTGGGGTTCAGCTCCAGGACTGTGCGAGTTAAATCTGGGGGCTCCCTCCCCTCCACCACGCCACCCACCATTAGCATCACAATGACGTCCTTCCAGCCCGGGAGTGAGGCCTTCCCATTACCTTGGCAACCAGTGGGGGCCAGGCAAGATACGTTCTTTTCCCACGGTGGGCTGGACCAATGGGGTGGGGCCTGAGACAGTATGGTGGATGAGGAGGTGGGGTGGAGGGAATGCGGTAGGGGGTGGACCGACTGTGGCTCCCAGGGTCCTGGGACTGGTTGAGATTTCCCCTCCCTCCTCCTCTCAGCGTCGGCATTGGCATCGGTTTCTATGGCAACAGCGAGACCAGCGATGGGGTGTCCCAGCTCAGCTCCGCTCTACTGCATGCCAATCACACGCTCAGCGCCATTGATCACCTGGTGAGGGGCCTGGTGATGGACCCCAAACTTTGTTCCTACGTCCAGGGACAAAGGGATCCTAACACAGAGCCAAGACCCCAGATCTGAAACTTAGGACCCCAGACTCAGATACAGATACCTAACCCCCCACCCTGGCTTTGAATCAAGGACTTCACACACGGGACCCTCAGAATCTTGAGCCAGATCTGGAACTTGTGGCTCAAACCCAGACCTCAGACTCACACTGAGGATCATCCCTGAACTTTAACTTGTAGCCCAAACCAGACAGAGACCAAATACCAGGGACCCCAGCCCCTACCCTCAGGTTAGATCCAGGGTCCCAGACCTGATCCTTGGCCCAAACACAAGCTTAGTGACCCACAGCCCCAGGATTCTGGAACCTGGGGCTGAAACCTGGCCCAACCTTAGACCTTAGATTTCATATTCAGTTATAGGTCCTGGACCATGGGACCCAGACATGAGACCCCAGACTCAGAAAGGCAGATGCAGATTTCAGACCTAGGACTCCCAGCTTAATTCCAGTTCTGGGGCTACTCCACCCTGGGCTCAAGTCACTGACTACCTGGAGCTCCTCATAGAGACCACAGAATTCTGTGAACCGGACCGTGGAGCTCCTTCTTAGACCCCATCCCTTCCTTAGTCCTCAGATGCCCCAGACTCCAGATCTCAGACACCCATGACTGCTCACTCTTATTTCACCCCAAAACCCCAACCCTCAACCCCAGGCTCCCCCGAGGCTGTTCTCCTCAGACCTCAGACCCTGCCCTGCCCCCAGGTGTTGGAGACGGTGGAGAGTCTGGGGGAGGCAGTGAGGACAGAGCTGACCACCCTGGAGGAGGTGCTTGCACAGCGCACGGAGCTGGTGGCTGCTACCCGGGGGGCTCGGCGACAGGCAGAGGCTGTGGCCCAGCAGCTGCAGGGGCTGGCCTTCTGGCAGGGAGTGCCCCTGAGCCCCTTGCAGGTGGCTGAAGATGTGTCCTTCGTGGAGGAGTACAGGTGAGAAGACTCTCTTCCCAACCTGTGCAGCAAGGGTTCTCAAATTGAGTCCCTAGAGGAGACAGTTGGCAACGTCTGGAGACATTTTTGTTGTCACAACTGGGGGAAGAGGCATCTAGTGGTAGAGGACAGGGATGCTGCTCAACATCCTACAATGCACAGGACAGCCCCCACAATAGAGAATTACCCAGCTCCAATGTCTATTATGAAGAGGTTGATAAATCCTGCTGTAGACAGACAGATCAAGTGACCCTGTTCCCATCCTCACACTCATGTATTCACCCATTTGCTCACCCGCCCCTCAATTATAACTTCACTCATTCATTTCCTGAGTCACTTGTTCAGCAAATCACTCTTGGGCTCAATCACTCCCGGACTAACCTGGTTATTAACTCAGTTATTCATCCATATGACACGTGCATCATTCATTCAGCAAATACTTATTTAGCACCTTCTTGTGAGAGACGGTACCCATGTGGTTAGGAACCTGAGCTCTAAAGCCAGATGGCCACTCTCTGACCATGCAGCCCATAACAAGTTACTTTCCGTCCCTTTGCCTTGGTTTCTCCATCTGTAAAATGGGAATCATGGTAGCATTCCACTCACTGGATTGTTGAGGATTGGATGAGGTGGTATCTGTTGAGTGCTTAGAATGGTGACTCGCACAAAGTGAGCATTAAGAGCTGTTTGTAAAATGCTGAAATGCCAGGTAGTGGAGATAGAGCAATGAGCAAATGATGAATTCCTGCCCACATGGGCCTCGCCTTCCAGTAGTGGGGACCAATAAGAAACAAACGCATGAGTAAAACATACTCATTGTTTCTAAGGTGGTGGGTGATGAGAGCTTCGGAGAACTTTTTTTCTTTTTCTGGTGGCTGACCGGTACGGGGATCTGAACTCTTGGCCTTAGTGTTACAAGGCTGAGCTCAACCAACTGAGCTAACCAGCCAGCCCAAAATACTAGATAATGACCATGCAACCATTTTTTTTTTTAAATGCAAGGAGCACATATAGGCTGATTGAAACCCAATCTCCTGTCCCTTGGAGAAAATTAAACAGGAGAGGGGGCGGGCTGGGAACAGAGGCTGGCAGTTTGAGTTCGAGTCTCAGAGGGCCACACTGAGAGGTGGCATTTGAAGGACAGGAGAGAACAAGTTGTGCAGACATCTGGGGCAGCCACCCTTCCCAGCAGCCAGCATGATGGTGTCCTCATGATTCCTCCACTAGTGATTATTTCTTTCATTCACCTGACACCCTCTGGGGGCCCTGCCCTGAGGCACGGGGCTGAGATGAGAACACTGAGATGAGAAGATTCTGTGCTCCAGCCGGGGAGGCAGACGAGGGCTGAAAGAGTCTGAGACAAGGATGGGGCATCAGACAATGAGAGGCAGACAGGCCTAGGTTTGAGGAGTCCAGGTTCTGCGTTGCAGCCAAGTCCAGGGGCCACACAAGTGGGGCCTCAGCTCCCTTCTGGAGGAGAGCAGGGAATTTGGGGTAGCTACGAGGACAACGCCAAGGTGGGGCAAACCCAACATCACCAGGAAATACCTTCTGGATGCAACAATACGAAAGTGCCTGGCACTTGGGCATCCCTCTACAAACAAATCAGGGGCCCCTGAGGGAAGTTCTTTGCAGCATAAAGCAGGAGGGGCACCTGCCCACAGGGAAGCAGGGACAACAGAAGTGGGATTGAAGTCACGACTATGTAGGTACCACTGAGGATAATACTATTTATTGAGCACTTACTGTGTGCCAGTCACTGTGCTGTGGCCTTGCACGCCTTCTCTTCTTCAATAATAATGAATTATTCACTGATATTTATTTATTATTAAATAACACTTAAAGTTCCCATATTAATGTGCAAGCTATCATTTAAGTGTGTCCACATGCTTGGCATTCTTCTAAGTACATTATACTTGTATTCATTCAATCATCTTGCAACAACTTTTGAAGTCGGTGCTGTGGTGCTCTTCATGTTAAGGTGGGGAAATGGAGGCACAGGAGGTTAAATTTATGGGACAGAGTTACACAGCCGGTTAAGTGGAAGGGCTGGGGATGAGACCCAGGCAACCTCTGCCTTCAGACACCATGCCTTTGGGTTATGTGAGGAGATCCTTGGTGCATGCCTGATAGAAAAATTTCCACTCCGGAGGGCTGGGCGGGAGGACCAGGGCTCAGAGAAGACAAATCACATGTCCATGGTCACAGAGCTTGTGTTTGGTCCGGGTACAGTCCCAGTTGCTCCAACCCCAGGACCTGTACTCCAAACCGCTCCAGTGTCCTGTCTCCACATTTCACAGATGAGCTGGGCTGTGGCCCAGACACTGGACAGGCAGGAGGTTGCATGGCCAGGGTGAGCTGGGGGGTGGACTTGGGGGTGCTGCTGATCTCTTCCAAGGCTGGTTGAGCTGGGGGTATTGAACTTGGGAGTGCTGCTGGTTTCCTCAGAGGCCAGGCTGAGTTAGGGGGTGAACTTGGGGGTGCTGCTCGCCTCATCCAAGCCCAGGTTGGGGATCTCGAGCACCTGATGGCCGTGTTTGCTGCTTCAGCCCTACTGCGTCCCCCTCCCAGGTGGCTGGCCTACGTCCTTCTGCTGCTCCTGGAGCTGCTCGTCTGCCTTTTCACCCTCCTGGGCCTGGCAAAACAGAGCAAGTGGCTGGTGATAGTGTAAGTCTGGGCATCCGTCACCATGGGTGGCACATTCCACAGTAGGAGGTACCCTTGCTAGTCTTCTCAGTGCTGGGTCTAGCATTAACCTCGTGTGCAGGACTTCATTCATTCTTATGTGAAGGACCACAGCCCTGCCTGGCCTGGGCCAGGCACTGTGCAAGGGGCTGGGCATGCATACAGAAGAGAGACTTAGAGCAGCCTGTGGCCGGGGAGGGGACAGATCTGGAAACAGGCAGACCTTGCTGAGTGAAGCATGCTGAAATTATGGAAAAAATAATGATCATGCTTGCCATAAAGATGAGGATAATTGCTAACATCTATTGGGGGTCGTGCATGCTGACTCCTTCAGTTGCTACAACAACCCTATGAAGGAGGTCTGTCTGACAGGTGAGGGACTTGAGCAAAAGGCGGCCAAGTCCGAGGCTGCTCAGCCATCAAGTTGGGTGGTGGAACCACAGGACCCGTGCTCTTATTTAACAGTTTACTCTATGTGTCAAACACTCTTCTTGGCACTTTGTGGAACCCTCATGCCCACCTTATGAGAAGGCACTTCCATTCTTCTTCAATAGAGGGGAAACTGAAGATCAGAGAGGTTGGGCCACTTTCCTAGAGCCACACAAGTATAAGTGCCAGAACTGGGATTCAAACCAGGCCAACTTATGATATTGGAAGAGCCCTTGTCTCTTTCTGCCCCTGGAGTGGGGGGACAGGGGGCGGGTTGTGCTTGTGCCCACATACTCCAAACTCCGCCTGGGTGAGAGGTCCTGTTGCCTCACTCAGGCTCCCACTGAGGCCTGGAAACAAGTAAAATATGGCTGGCATGGGCCAGATCTGGGACTGGAGGTCAGGCTTTCAGTTTGGACCCCCCCCCAGGTGTCCTTCTTGCTTGCTGTCCACTCACCAGTGCTGACCTCCCCCCTCCCCCGGAGAAAAGCCTATAGGTGGATTTCAGTCCTGGAACCATTTCCACTTCTCAGAGGGGACTGGGCAGATTGGGAGGCTAACCAGGCTATGGGTGGATCTGGGAGCAGTCCCGGGAAATTGTGGCCCCTGAGGAACTTAAAGCCCCAGAAATTGAGCCCGGAGTTGGGCAGTTGCCCACCGAGGGTCCTAGAGAAAGGCTGGACAGAGCTGTGCTGGGATTCCAGCTGTTGTTCTGCCAGCCCAGGGCCCTTCTCACTCTTCCCCCCACTCCCACCCCTTTGGGCAGAGGCCAGATGTTCAGTTTGACGTCAGCAACCACTGGCTCATACCACCCCCTAACTTCTATGCCCCTAATTCTGATCCTCTAGGCTCCAGAGGTTGGTGAAGGATGGGGGTGGGGCTGTGATGGGATTTTGGATGTGGGAAGGGAAGAAGCCAGTCAGAGAAATTAAGAACACCAAATGCAATCCCCTCCCCTACTGCAGGATGACCGTGATGAGTCTCCTGGTTCTTGTCCTGAGTTGGGGATCCATGGGCCTGGAGGCAGCTACAGCTGTGGTGAGTGCTGGGGGCCAGGCCCCTGGGCTGTGGGACTCAGGAGGGCTGGAGGCCCCGATTCCTGGTTCCTGGGGCAGGGTGGGGTCCAATGCCTTAGGTCCTGAGAGGAAGGACTTGGGGGCCACAATCACAGGTTCTGAGGTTTGGGGCTGGTTTTCTGAGGGGACAGAGCTGATGTCCTGGGCACCTGGGCTCTAAGGGAGGAGTGGCTTGTGTCCTGGCCTCCTGGGTCTGAGGGAGCAGAGGGGGAGCCAGGCACTGAGTCCCGTGGGAGTGTGGAACTGGGGCAGTTTCAGTGCTGAGCCCCCTTCCTGCTACCTCACTTAGGGCCTCAGTGATTTCTGCTCCAGTCCAGACACCTACATCCTGAACCTGACCCAGGAGGAGACGGGGCTTGGCTCAGGTGATTCCCATCAACCAGGTCGGTCGGTGGGTGAATGCAGGCCCTGGTGTCCTCAGGCCTCCTCTGTGCCCAGTCCTGCCTGGGGTGGGGTGGGGGTGCCAAGCTGTTAACCAGACGAGGCCTAGTCCTCAGGAAACTCAGCACTTCAACTGGTGTGTTGGAAAAGAGGACCAGATAAAGATGCTGATGTCAGGAGGAGAGAGAGGGCTCAGGAGAGGCAGTGGGAATGGGAAGATTTGGCCTCAGAATGGGAAGATTTGGCCACTTGGAGAAAACAAAGGGAACACAATTTAGTCAGGGGTTCCCAGGGAGACTAGGGAAACCAGAGTGTGTGGCTGAAACTGAAGGGATGGGGGTGGTGGGGGCGGGTGGGTGGTAGGTTTCTGAATGCCAGGCCATGGGGACCCCAGGCAGGTCCTGAGCTGGGGAGTGGCCCTGGGCCTTGCCCCCTCCCACCTTTCCCCAGTCTCACTACCTCCTCCCCTCTCCCCCTTATGCTTCAGACATCCTGAACTATTACTTCCTCTGCAACCAGGCCGTCTCCAACCCCTTTCAACAGGTTAGGGCTGCGGGCAAGGAAATGAGGGTTGAGAGGACCAGGAATCTGGACTTCTCAAGGGAGGAGGGCAGGGCTGGGGCCTGGGCGCCTGGGTTCCAGGGGAGGATTAAGGTGCCAGGGGCCCAGAGTCCTAGGTCTCCAGAAATGAGAGAGGGCTGGGGGCGTCGACTACTGGGCCTCCCCCCTCCCTCCGTCTTCCTGCAGAGGCTGACTCTGTCGCAGCGAGCTCTGGCCAACATCCACTCCCAGCTCCAGGGCCTGCAGCGAGAAGCTGTCCCTCAGTTCCCCTCAGCGCAGGTCTGCGGGACCGACGCTCCCCCTACACACCGACTCCGATTCCCAGGGGAAGGAGGGCGGGGGCGGGACTGGACCTGCGGGGTGTAGGCGGGACCCACAGAAAGGGCCAGATCGGTCAGGTGGGGGTGGGGCCTGAAGAAAGGGGCGGGTCTCCGGGGGCGTGGGTTGTGGGAAGGGCCTTTGGAGTCGTGCAAGTCCGCCGCGTGTGGGCGAGATCCGCGGAGGCCCGGATGAGTGGGTGAGATAACCACCTCACCTCCCACCCCGCAGAAGTCTCTGTTGTCCTTGGAGGAGACGCTGAATGTGACAGAAGGAAACTTCCACCAGTTGGTGGCACTGCTGCACTGCCGCAGCCTGCACAAGGTGAACAACGTCCCCGTCCCCAATTTCTTCTCCCAGTGGGATCCTCTGCCTCATCCCGAACCACAGAAAGGCCCCCGACCTTTCGTCGGACCCCTGAGAATATCTATGTACTTAACTTATCCATCTTCTGTCTATGTTATTTATATGTGACATATTTATTCTCTACCGGCCTATTGCCTATCATCTGTATTCCTTCCTTCTTTCTTCCCTCCCTCTCACCCTACCCGGTCACCACTCCTTCCTCTGTCTCCATCTCCCTCCCTGTCCCCATCTCTGCCTCCCTGTCCACTCCTCCTACCCTTTCCTTCCTTGTCTTCTCCGACCCGCCTTCTCTCCTCTCTCCTTCCTCCTCCTCCTTCTAGAGGCTGCACACCTTAGTGAACTCCAGAGCAAGACTGCCTGGTTTCCAGTCCTAGTTCTTGACTTCGAGCAAGTCACAACTTCTCTGTACCTCAGTTCTTTCACTTATAAAACTGCGATTACGAGGATGAGCACCTGTACAGCACTCACATACATTGTGCTGTTAACGTACCAGATGGGCAGGGGTAGGCAGTGCACCAGAAGGAAACAGTGTCTGGTATCCAGCACACATCCCAGTTTGGGCTCTGCTGGGGGCTGTGCGGCCACAGGCAGGTGAACATCCCTGAATCTCGATTTTCCCCGCCTGTACAGTGAGGAAGAATGATACCTTCTTTACTAGACAGTTGTGAGGGTTTAAAAGAAAATCACCCTTTTAAAACGGTGGGAGTTGTTCTAAATTACAGACTTGACCATGCCTCTCCCTGGTCACATACCTTGTACGTACACAGGCTTTGCCATGTACTGGCTTTGTTGTATTTTATAAGTGGTAACTCCCTGACACCTCATAATAAGGAACTACTATTTTTATCGCGTTTAACAGTCTTGGAAGATGAGGGGAAAGAGTTGAGTAACTTGCCCAAGGTGGTACAGTCACAGAGACAGAGATCTCATGGAGGGTTGTTGGGCCTCCCCCCCCCGTGGCCCCCACAGCCAGGCGGTTGCCCAGTCTTGTCTCTTCTGCTTCTGGAATGTCTTCATCCATCTCCCCCACCCCATCCCAGGGCCCCCGCTGCAACTCAGACCTGGTCTTCTCCCTTGGAGGAGAACACATGCCTTCACATTCCTCTGCCTTCTTCCCACATTTGGTCTGCTCAAGAATAGGGTTGCCAGATTCAGCAAACAACTAACAACTCTTTACTATAAATATGTCCCATGCAACATTGGTGAGATATTTATACTAAAAAATTATTTGTTGGGTATCTGAAATTCGATACCCAACAAATAATAGGGTATCCTGTTTTGATCTGGCAGCCCTACCCCAGAGAGATTCATCTATACTTTAACAACAACAGGGGGGTGGGGGCGGAATCGATACACAGAATTGCTGAATATTTGAGCTGAGAAAGGCTGGGGGATTCCCCAAGGCTATGCTGTTCTCTTGTGTGAGGGTAAATTAGGGCCCAGGCACTTCTTTATGGTCCAGGCAGAGACTGGGCTGAAATACAGACCCCAAGGCTTCTTTGTGAAGGAAGAGAAGGAATGGAGAAAGTAGGATGGATCAGAGTCTCTATCTTCCACTGGTGTACCATGTGACTCTGGGCCTCAGTTTCACCTGGGCCTCAAAGTCCCCACATACTGAAATCAGAGACAAGAGTCATCAGGGATGAGGAAGAAGGGTGGGCACTGGAGCCTGAGAGACTCAGCTCCAATTTCATCTCTGCTCCCCACCTTGCAAGCAGTGTGACCCTGGACAAGTGTCTTGCTTTCTCTGAGTTTCAAGTTCTTTCTGCCACTGCATAAGGCAGCCGCCTGAGGGGACTGGTGTCTGCCTTGCAGGGCAGATGTGAGGATGAAGGACATTGTGCATGTGCCTCCTACCCTCAAAACAGAACTCCCTATTGCCCTGACAAGCCCCTCCCTCTGGGCCTCACCAGCTCAGTAATAGGTACCCCCCCCACACACCTCATCCAGGAGCTCAAGCCAGAAACTCAGGAATGTCCTTTTTGCTCCCTGTCCTTACCTCCCACAACTATTCTGCCAGCGAGTTCTGTTGGCCCTCCCTGTGAAACCTATCCGGACTCTGACCACTGTTCATACCACCACCACTGCTGCCTTGGTCCCCACTGTCCTTACTTCCTGCCAGAAGACCACAGGAGACTCTCCTCTGTCCCCTCTTGCTCACCCCATCTGTCCTGCATGCAATAGCCAACAGCTGGGTGATCCTTTTAAAACACAATCCGATCAAGTTCTTTCTTCACTTAAAACCCTGCATTGATTGCCCTTGCACACAGATTAAAACCCCGTCTCTTTGCCCTGACCTACAAGAGCCTGTGTGGTCAGCCCCGGCCGTGGTTATCTCTGGCTTTGGCCCCTTCCACCCTCCTTCTCACACCTTTCACATCAGCCCAGCAGCCTGCCTCAGATGGGACCCGGCTGGCTGCCTGGTTGCTGCTTCTTGGCCCTGCCTCTACTGGCCCTGCTTCTGATCCTGCTATCTCATCAGTGCGTCATCCTCTGATGATGCAATGCCTGGAATGGAGTAGGCTCTCAGTCAGTATCTGCTGAATGGATTACGGCTGTGCACTGCTGGTCATTCAGTAAATGGTAGTTCTGCTGATGTCCAGGGGCGAGGGTAATAATAGTTAGCATTTGTCGAGTGTGTATTATGTGCAAGGTGTCATCCTAAGCCAGTGGTTCTTTTTAGCATTATTCCAAGTGTTCTAAGCCAGTAATGTTGCCCCCAGGGGGCATTTGGCACTATGTGGAGATGATGTTGATTGTCACAACTGCACAAAGGGGATGCTACTGGCATCTAGTGGATGGAGCCCAGCAATGCTGCTCAACATCCTACAATGCACAGGACAGGCCCCCACAACAGAGAATTATCTGACTCAAAATGTCAATAGTGCCCAGGTTGAGAAATACTTCACTAGACCAAGGCAGGACTCGTAGTGCTGGAGAGGAGGCAGCTGAAGCAGGGAAGGGAGGAGGAGGCAAAGGGGGGAGCAGGAAGAAGCTCTCATTCTCCACTTTCTTGGAGGATGGAGAGGTGGCTGCCAAGGGGGCATTAGGAGAGGGGACAGGTCTGGGTGGAGATGCTGGGCTGGTTCTGAATATGGGGTGCTCAGGAAGGCCTGTGTGACATGGAGAGGGAGATAGGGAGATAAGGGCCTGCAGTGAAATGGAAGTGGGGTGCAGGGGCTGCAGCTCAGGAGAGGCCCAGGTTGGAGGCTGTTGAGTTCTTACTTGTGGGGTTGCACTGCCTCCTGAGGGGGCTTCCTGTGCTCCAGGCACATTCAGTGGATGACCTCATTCTATCCTTAGAACACCCTTTGACGGGAGAAAACTGAGGCACAGAAAGGTTGGGCAACTTGGGCAGTAACACACAGCCAGGCGAACAGTCTGACAGGTGTGCGCACCATGGGGGTGGGGGTGGGGAGATGGGCACTGTCCCCTGACGCCCCACTCCCACCCCCCAGGACTATAGCGCAGCCCTGCGGGGCCTGTGTGAAGATGCTCTGGAAGGCTTGCTCTTCCTGCTGCTCTTCTCTCTGCTGTCTGCGGGGGCCCTGGCCACCGCCCTCTGCAGCCTGCCCCGCGCCTGGGCCCTCTTCCCGCCCAGGTCAGGAGGGGAGAGAGGGCAGGGTCCTGGGGGAGGGAAAAGGACGGCAGCACCTGGGAACCATTCTTGGGGGGGGTGCAGACTCCTGATGGGTCCCCCATCCTGCCTCTCTGCCACTGCCCCCATCGCACCCCAGTGATGACTACGATGACACAGACGATGATGACCCTTTCAACCCTCAGGTACTAGACTCCTAGGTTGGAAGTGGGAGGGGCTAGGGTACTGGACTCCTGGTTTGAGGGAGGAGACACTGGGGACCCAGAGTAAAAGCCAGATTCCCACTTCATCCCCTCCTCTCACCCCAAACCCCTGGCAGGAATCCAAGCGCTTTGTACAGTGGCAGTCGTCTATCTGAACCCCTCCTCCCTGCCAGACTGGAGCCTGCCTCCCCACTTTGGTGAGCTCCCAGAGTGACACACCAGCTCCCACAGCCTGGCCCCCACCCTCTTCTCCCATGCTCTGAGATGCTCACTGGCAGCATGAGCTGCAACTGTGAGCTGGGTGGGTGTGCACTGGGTGGTACTCCCACCCACATAAGTGCCTGTCTCTGCCTCTATTCCCAGTTCCTTCCCTGGCTGCCGGAGGAGACCCCACTAACCCAGCCTATCTGGGCTCTGACCACTAACACTCCTGGCCTCGGATGCACCACACAGGACTGCTTCCCCTGCCCTGCCCTTATGCCCCCCTCTCTCTGTCCTTAGCCCTGGGAGAAGTTGAGGGGGCAGACTGGGGACCAAGGATGGCAGAGGAGAGGCAGACAGCCAGCCCCACACTCCTCATCCCTGGCTGCCAGTCCCATCCTTGGATGGGCTGAGCTGGGCTCGGGGAACATGAATTCCCCCACCCCTGCCACGTCCCAGGGGGCTCTGGCCCCTAGATCTCAACTTGTGGCACTAACTTGGAAAAGAGTTGATTTGAAATAAAAGGGAAGACTTTATTTTCCAAGCTTCTGGGTCCTTCTTATTTCTCCCTTCTCCTGATTTGTCCTCCTTGTAGAGACTGGGGAGAGCCCTTCACCCTCAGCTTCTCTCCCCCAGCCCACTTGCTGCCAGGGTTTTTGCTTCTGACCAGGCTCAGCAGCAGTTCCAAAGGGATTCTTCTTTTTTTAAAAAAATAACTTTCTTCCCTGATCTAAAAGTAGAGCATGTATCCAGACACAGGAAGAGACAGACATCCCTAGGACAGGACAGACAGCTTAGAGATAGACTTAAGTGTACATATACATATTGATATATGTGTATATATATATATATATATATGAGTATGACAGTGTGAACAGAACCATGTGGTTTAGAAGCAGTGCTGGCATAATTGGCCCCCCATCTGGCCCAAACCTTCTGGATACAAGGTAGGTGAAAAATCTAAATGTATGCAAGTAAAAGGATAGAAGTATTTCAAGAGAAATTAGAAGAATATTTGTATGGTGTGTATCCAAGTCGGGGAGGAGGGAGGGAGGACTTTAAGCAAAATATTGTAAAGCCAGAAAGGAAGAGATAACTTGTTTGACAAATAATAGAATGAGAAAAATACCGTTAAGTCAAAAGGCAAATTCAGGGCCGACCCCGTGGCTCACTCGGGAGAGTGCGGCGCTGGGAGCGCAGCAGTGCTCCCGCTGCGGGTTCGGATCCTGTATAGTTCGGATCCTATATAGGGACAGCCGGTGCGCTCACTGGCTGAGCACGGCGCGGGCGACACCAAGCCAAGGGTTACGATCCCCTTACCAGTCACAAAAAAAAAAAAAAAAAAAAGGCAAATTCATAGTCTGGGGAACAATGTGTGTGTGCTCTTTAACACATATAGCAAATAAATGTATTATTCCTTTTTTTTTATTTTTAGGCATCTGGTCTGTATGGGGATCTGAATCATTGACTTTGGTGTTCATTAGCACCATGCTGTAATCAAGTGAGCTAACTGGCCAGCCCAAATATCTTGTTCTTAGTACATAAATATAATCCACAAAAGCTTCCATAAATCAAGAAAAAGACATCTCGTTTTAAAAGTAAGCAACTGAGATGAACCAATGAATCAAAACTCTCAGCACCACCCAGTAAGCAGACAAAAAGACATTCAGACTCTAATAATTAGAAAATGCTATTTGAAACAATCAGAAATTACCGTAGTTTTTTTCCCACTACCTAGTTATTAGAAAGAGTGGTGATATCCTGTGCTGGCAAAAACGTGGAGGAACAGGCACTCAAACACACTGCTCCTGAGGATGTGAACTGCCACAGTCCTTTGGGGAGAAAAAAATCTGCTCACAAGTGATATAACCAAAACTTAATACAGTAGTGTCCCCTTATCCACAGTTTTGCTTTGTGCAGTTTCACTTTCCATGATTTGTTACCCACAGTCGACTGCAGTCTGGAAATATTACATGGAAAATTCCAGAAATAAACAATTCATATGTTTTAAATTGCCTCTGAGTAGCATGATGAAATCCCTCGCTGTCCCACTCCATCCCACAGAAATCATTCCTTTGTCCAGCATATCCACGTTGTATGTGCTATCCCGTTAGTCACTTAGTAGCCATCTCGGTTATCAGATCTACTGTCCCAGTTTCACAATGCCCATGTTTAAGTAATCCTTACTTTACTTAATAATCATCCCAAAGCACAAGACTAGTGATGCTGGGAATTCATATATGCCAAGGAGAAGCTGTAAAGTATTTTGACCTTTCAGTGGAAAGGTGAAATTCTAGACTTAATAAGGAAAGAAAAAAAGAAGTATGCTGGGCTTGCTAAGATATAAGGTAAGAATGAATCTTCTATCCATGAAATTTTGAAGAAAAATAAATTTGTGTTAGTTTTGCTGTTATAATATTTCAAATAGCAAAAGTTATGGCCACAGTGCTTAGTAAGATGGAAAATGGAAGGCTGTCCAGTTAGCTCAGTTGGTTAGAGCATGGTGCTGATAACAGCAAGTTCAAGTATTTAGATTCCTGTAGTGGCCAGCCCCCACTCCCCCGCCCCCACACACCAAAAATGGAAAATACATTGTTTATGGGTGGAAGACATGAATGGAAACATGTTCCAACTAATGGCAATCAGGTTCAGTACTATACGCAGTTTCAGGCATCCACTGGGTGTCTTGGAATGTATGCCCTGCAGATAAGGAGGGACTGCTGTATACCCTAGACCCAGCAATCCTACTTTTAGGAATCAGTTTACAGAAAGAGAAGCATAGACATCTAAGGACTTCTATTAAGAGCTGTTTGCTACACTACTACTTCAATCGGCTAAATACTGGAAACAAAAGTCAGTGAAAAGGGAAGTCCAATAAATCATTGCACATCAGGGATCTCTGGAAGACAACAGCTCTTGGCAGAGCTTGGGATTTTAGAAAAAACCTGGTAGAGGAGATACTGGAGATGGGTGTGACAGACAATGGCAACAAAGTGGACAAACATAGAGGGGGCTACACAGCTAAGGGCCCAGCTTTGCAGTCAGACACCCCAGGCCCATGGTCCTGTTACTTACTATCCTCATCAATGTGGGCACGTCACTTGACCTGTTTGACTTCGGTTGCCCCATCTATGAAGTGAGTATCATAAATCCAAAATTCCAAAATCCAGAGAGCTCTGAAGAACCAAATGTCTTCTCTTAACTCATTGGGCAGCAAAACCTGACCTGACTTTGCATGAGATTATTCATAGACTTTATTGACCCCACCTAGGGTGAATATTCAGATATTTTCCTGCAGAAATTTTAATGGGGTTACTTCAAGGTGCTGTGCTGGGTACTAAGGTGTTGTGTGCTATGTGGAATAGAGACCATATTGCTTTTCAAAACTGAAAAATCCTGAGTCCCAAAACTCATTTGGCCCCAGGGGTTCAGGTCAGGGCTCTCTGACCTGTAGTTCCAGCTATTGAGCATCTGGCATGGGGCCTGCCACTGCTTGGTACACATCAACCATTTGTATCTTGCACACTGAAGCTTTTGGTGTGTGGGCCTGAGGCTAGAGAATAAAGATGGACTACAATTTCCAGGGAGGGGCTCTAGGGGCCACATGTGTTGACTCACTTTCTCATGACCACGTGTTTTGTCTGACCCTGGGGCTGGCCTTGCTGCTATCCTGGTTTTGTTGCTCTCAAACACTGCCCTCTAGTGTTTGTGAGTCCATTTCCAAAAGCGGAGGCATCATCCACTGATGTGTTGGATATCTGCAAAGTACCCTGAGATTCAGGCCACGTGATTGCCCCTGCCAGTGAGCCAGGGGTGATTGTTAATCAGGAAGATTTTACCAAGAAAAAAAGGACATTGTGCCCAACCTTTACAAAGGAAAATCTGTTTTCTATCTCAAAAAATTTTGCCTATGGGAACTTCTGAGCAAGACAGAGTAAAAAGGACTGAATTTGTTCTCCTTCTTGAAACAATCAAAAAAATAAAAAATAAAAAAAGAGAGAGAGACCAAGTACACAAAACAACAGTGTTGAAGACTGTGGACAGGAAAGTGCTCCCTGAAAGACAGGAGTTTTAATCCATTGCAGTCTGAAAAGATAGTTGAGATGATTTAAATTTTTTAAAAGTTTTAAGACTTGAATTGTGACCTAACATGTGATCTATCTTGTAGAATGTTCTGTGTGTGTGCTAATGAGAAGAATTTATATTCTGTAGTTGTTGGATGAAATGTTCTGTAGATATCTGCCAGGTCCAATTGGTCTAAAGAGTAGCTTGAATACTGTGTTTCTCTGTTGATTTGTTGCCAGGATGATCTGTCTAAAAATGAGAGAGGGTTGTTAGGTCCCCCACCATTACTGTAGTGGGGTCTAACTCTTTCTTTAGGTCTAATAGTGTTTGCTTTATACACTGGGTGCTCCAGTGTTGGGTACATATATATTCATGATTGTTATGTCTTCTTGTTGGATCTATACCTTTATCATTACATAGTGGCCTTGTCTCTTTTTATGGTTTTTAGTTTAAAGTCTATTTTATGTGATGTAAGAATAGCTACTCCTGCTCATTTTCGGTTTCCATTTGCATGGTATATCTTTTTCCATTCCTTCACTATTAGTCTGGGTTCATCTTTACTTGTGAGATGAGTCTCTTGAACAAGACAGCATATAGTTGGGTCTTGCTTTTTGACCCAATCTATCGGTCTGTGTCTTGAGTGGGGAGTTTAATCCATTTACACTTAGGGTTGTTATTGAGAGGCATTGTCTTATTCTTGGAATTTTATGGCTTTTTATTTAGAAGTTTTGAGTATCATTTGTTCTTTTCTTCTCCTTTGATTATGGTTTTCCATGTTTGTGGGGTTTTATTGAGGTGGTAAGATTTAGTTTCTTTTTTCTTCCTCACTTGCATTTGTGTTTTACTAGGGGGTTTTGTTCTTATGTATTCATGGTAGTGATTATTGTTTTTCAGATTCCAGATGCAGGACTCCCTTGAGAACTTCTTGTAGGACTGGTCATGTGGTAATGAACTCCTGCAGTTTTTGTTTGTTTGGGAAATATACTATTTCTCCCTCATTTCTGAAGGATAGCTTTGCTGGGTATCGTATCCATGGCTGGCACTTTTTCTTTTAGTATTTTGAATATGTCATCCCATTTTCTTCTTCCCTGTAGAGTTTCAGTTGAGAACTCTGCTGTTAGTCCAATGGAGGCTCCCTTATAGATGACTTGATGCTTTTCTCTTGCTGCTTTTAGGATTTTTTCTGTCTTTGAGCTTTGCCAGTTTGACTATAATGTGTTTCAGAGAGGATCTTTGAGCTTCCTGGATCTGAAGGTCTATGTCTCTCCCTGTACCTGAGAAGTTTTCCATTATTGTTTCATTGAACAGATTTTCAATGCCTTTACCCTTTTTTCTCCCCTTCAAGAACACCCATGATTCAGATGTTTCTGTGCTTAAGCTTGCCTGCTAGCTCTTTTAGAGATTCTTCACTTTTTAAAAGTCTTTTTTCCTTTTTTTTTGGTCTGTCTGGGTTATTTCATAAAGACCATCTTCAAGTTC